GAAAATATCTACATACATTTTACTAAACCAAACAGCCACACAGGCAACTCAGACATAGAAAGACTTCATAGCACAATATCCGAAAAGTTTAGAGTGCTAAATGCTGAAAAATTTGAATTGTCAACCCAAGAAAAAATTTTCAAAAGCATAGAATTTTACAATAAATCTATACACAGTGCAACCAAAGAAAAATCACAAGATATAGCAGAAGGAAAAATTAATAAGAATACCATTAACGAAAGACTAAACAAACTAAAAAACAAAATTATAAGCAAGAAAAATTAAAAAAGAGAAACATATATACAGGACCAACAGGAAGGTTACATCAAGAACTATAAAGCACTTAGGCATAAGCATGAATCTAGATATAAAAAATCTAAATTAGAAAATATCCATCCAACAAACACTAAACGTAAAAAGAAATTTTCAGATGCAATTAATACTGACACTTTTACTGCTGACGCTGACGATAACAACGGCAACACTAACGATACAACCTATTGAAAGTACAGACGGATATGCCGAAATCCAATTCGACAAAGTAGACTTTATTCAAAATTACTGTAAAATCATCCATGTAATAGAAATTAATAAAATCCTCGAAATTGTAAATATCTTACAACAAAATATAAGATCAACAAAAGTAGAAAATAGGTTACTTTTAGAAAATAAATTAAACAGAGTGAGAACAAAACTTTTAACAATTTTACCTCACAGACATAAGAGAGCATTACTGAATGTACTAGGTACTGGACTAAAACTTTTAACAGGAACAATGGACGACAATGACAGAACAGAAATAGAAACACTTTTAAAAATAATTGACGAGAACAACCATAACGCAACAGAAAACTTAAATAAAAATATTAGAATTGTCTGAACTCAAATTAATGAGCCTCGTAGAAGAAAAACTCGACCGCTAATTTTCACTGATTTATTTCGATTCACACTTTGTACGTTGCGCTAGAAACTTATAAAGCAAAACTCTTATTGGAAAGAACCAGTTATCGTAACATCGAATGATGATGAGAGAACAATTGATAATAACAATTTACAGTATTTGTGTTGTTATGCTAAGGAATGCATGATATGTATAACCCTATATTTATGAATGTATGTAAATATGTATATTACTAAGTGAAGCCGTGCGTAACTATGTGCGTACCCACTTGCTGTAGCAAAGACATTTGCATGTACGTACATTTGTAAATAAGATAAAGAAAAACAACATCGGCCGATATGTTTCATGTATGTACGTATGCATGTAGCGCAGGCACAGTGGTACAAAACTGTAACTACTTTGTAGAAATATACACAAGTTCATCTGCTCCAACATACTCCGCCCGTTTAAATATTCTTTTCAAACATTTTTATTCAATCGGCAGAGGAGCTATCTTGTGCACTAGGCGCCGTAGAGTACCTCGCTTTGTGAAAATGTCAACCACACGTACACGGCCATCTGCTCCTGGGGACGTGTGTGTGATGCGACCAAGTGCCCATTGTTGGGGTGGAAAATTGTCATCATGAATCACAACAAGCTGACCAGGAATGATGTTTTCTTGCGTCTCAAGCCACTTCGACCGCACTTGTAATGTATGAAGGTAATCCCGACGCCACAAGTACCATAATCGCTGCTTTAAGTAAGTGATACGCTGCCAACTATTTAGACGCGACTCATCATTTGGGTCGTCAGTCAAAGGCGTAAGAGGTCGCGAGTTCAA